GACCATGGGGAAGTGGTCTCAGCTGCACTCGGTGTGGACATGGCATTTCTGCCGAGTGGAAATGAGGGATTTTCAGAGCCAGATTTTAACTGAAAATGGGGGGAGGCCGGGGGTAGCAAGCCCTCTTAGACTGTAAGTCAGTGGCGAAGGTGCTGCTGCCTGGACGCGCCAGGCTGTGCGGGGAGGGGGCTTGGAGCCCCCGGGGGCCCAGGGTCTGGACAGGAGCGGTGGAAACATACCCTGCTGCTGCCTGTTAAGGGCGCACAAGAGGCTCCTGGGCCCACGGCACCATGGATGCACTGACGCTAGCCAGCCACGGCGCAGGGGATGCCCAGAGCCTGGCCATCCTGGCGCGTGCGGTGACAGCGTGCCTACCAGGTACGGGGTGGGGGCGTCTCAGGGGCAGTGGGGGCCGGGCCAACTGAGCATGGAGCCACCGGGGTGCACACGCGGATCTGGGCAGATTTGCCTCTGGGGATGGCGGGACCCAGGTAGTAAATGACAGTCGTGGTTCAGTGTTTTCAGCACTTACCTTGGACTGAGTACTGTGTTAAGGACTTAACACAAGTGATCTCATTCAAACCTGGCAGTTCTTCTCAGGGAGGTGCATGTGTTTCCCCTTTAGAGATTAAGAAACTCAAGGTTCCCAGAGTAGCTCACACAACCGGTGGGACGCAGAGCCCAAGTCTGACCTAGGTGGGAGGGGAGGTGGCAGGCGAGGGGACATCCGGGGTAGCAGCAGGGCTGCAGTGACCAGAGGGAGGGAGGGAGCAGGGCAGCATATTCAGGGGACTCTGGAGCAGTGACAGGAAGAGCAGGGGGCTCTGCAGGGGGCTCTGAGCTGCGGGTGGGGCCTCAGGCACGACAAGTGGCCGGCGAGAAGCCAAGGCTGTGCGCGCCGGTGCTCAGAGGGCGGTCAGGCCAGCGGTCTGGTCCTGCAGGGTGGCCCGATGACGGAGGCCGGGCTTGGGCACCGCGTGGGCCTGGGTGGACCCGTAGCAAGACCCGCATCTGACCTTGCTCAGTTTCTCTCCCTGAAGGCCTTCGCTAACCCTCCACTGACTCTCCCCTCCACCCAGGGACCATCCAGAATGTCACGTTTGGAGCGGGACTCAGCTACATCAGCTCACCCCGGACACCCTTTCCCGTCAGAGGCCACTCCCCCCCGGCCAGGTCCACGAGCCGTGCCGGCACCCCAGGAAGTCTGGGGGTGTCGGAGGCCCCGGGCCAGGGGGACAACGTTCTTTGTCTGTCGCTGCCTGACATGCCGTAAGTTCCCCGGCCCCCGCCCAGAGGTGTTCCCGTTGGGGCGGGGGGTGGGGGGCTGTCCCACTCCAGGTGACACGCCTGTTCCCCCCAGGCCCCCGCAGCCCCCGCAGTGGAACGTGACATCTCCCGCCAGAGGAAAGGACAGCGCAGCCCCCAGGAGGTCACGCCGCAAGGCCCCGCTGAAAACAGCCAACTGACCACTGTGCCCCTGGACCCAGACGCTTCCACTGTGAGCAAAGGGCTCGCCTGTGAGTCCAGCGCCGCCCAGCTTTTCACCTGTGTGGTTGGTCAACCTTTTCAGTTTCTCCTTATGAAATACCTGGTTAAAAAGTGTAAAATACTAGAGAAATGCCTTAAGCATTTAATACTGTAACTTTACTCCAGACGGAAGGAGGCTGCCAGAGGGCGGCTTCCCACTCTGCTTCTCCAGGGACCCTGGCTGGACTGGAGGGCCTGCTCTTGCAGAAAGGCCTCCTTCCCTGGCTTCTCCCCACCGTGGTTTGTGACCCCTCTTTTCCCGACTTCAGCCAACCTGTGTCATGTGCTAATTGTGTGCAATAAACCGAGAGATTTGTGAATTTAAAAAAAAGCTTTGAAAATGTCCAGTCCCTTCTCATAAGCGCTGTTCTGGTCCTTAAAGAACAGTCCTTGAGCTTTCCCTTCTATAGTCAAGCTTCTGTTAGCTGGTTTCAGTTCCTTATACTAAGTACATCGTTTCCCGTATCTGATGTCAAAATCTTGATTGTAATATTTTTTCTATTCTTATTTATAAATTGCAGACTTTTAAAGCTTTTTCAAATGAATAAAAGTATGAGTACAGCCTTCTATTATTTTTAGCGCAGGGCTTTAATTGGTAGTCACTTAATTGACATAAAGTGTTTAAGAACCCAAATCTTCCCCATCGGGGAAAAAAGGACTCAATCTGTCTTTCCAGGTCCTCTGCCCCTGCCTCTTTCTCCTCACAGCAGACATCTTAGCATAGACTACAAGTCTCTGCTTAAGAAAACCCTCTGTGTTCCTTACCCGGAGCAACAGCAGTGCCGATGACATGTGCGTAGTCCGCTAAGGGCTGTTCCCGCAGGAGAGTGGCCTTAGGTTCCTCTGTTGGCGCCATCAGGTAACCTTAAAACACTTGTATGTGCGTGTTTTGTCCAAGAATGACCAGAAAGAAATTTGGTTGGTTCACATCTTAATCCCAGTTCTACAGAAGTAAAAGCACAGGGTTGCTGTTTGCGTGTCCTGCACGTGACGGGGTGGTTGGATGAGAGGGTGGATGTCGTCATGACCCCCCAGCTCCCGTGTGTGTTGACACGCTTGCACGGAGTCAGTCACAGGGCTGCCCCTAAGCGAACACCCTCACCTCCGTCCAGCACTTCAAACCTAGGGCCATGCCTGACACGACACAGGAAGGAGAGAAATGAAGAGACCGAGCTGCTTTTTTTTTTTTTTTAGAAGCTTTTATAAATGAGGTTTAAGAAATACCAACTCACAGGTATGTTAGTAGCACAGGTCTGTGGCACTGTGTACAGCTGCAGCCACACAAAGGCCCCAGCAGCCCATGTGGCCTCGCGTCTCCAGCAACGTTTACATCTTAAAATCACTCGATGCTCCTTTTCTGTCTGCGTTTTTACAGTGACGGGCAGCAACCTCCAAGACCCCACACTCACTCCTCTCTCCTCCGTCAGAGCCAGGTCACATGGCACCGGGGCGGAGGTTTTAGGGTACAAGAAGACTACCCCATCACTATGACAACTGAGGAGGAGGCTGGAGCTGCCCCCACAGGCGGAAGGGCCCTACTACCCTTCTCCACCCAGAGGAGCTGAGGGTGAAGGGACAGTCTTAGGTCTGTCTGCGCTCTCAAGACACAGATGGAAGTAGTCAGGCGCCCCAGCATGACAAGGTGCTGCCCTCTGCTGCTGCCAATACCCCACGACAGAGCGTTCACACGACTCAGAAAAGAAAGGACAACGGAAGTCTCCAGTATTCAAGTAAGACACTGAAAGTTTCATCCCAGGATGACTGTGTTCTTCTACGTAAACCCCATCCTGTAACACAGAGTCGGAGGCATCCTTCTGAGAAGCTCCTTGCTCCCAAGGACTTCACGCTGAGTTAACACAGCAGCGTGTCTGAGGCTAAGAACAAAGGGTGCTGTTCCTGACGCCCCCACAAAGCAGGCAGCATGTGGGGCACGATCAGGAAGTTGCCTTTGACTCGGGCACACACTTTGCCCATCGTCAGTCGGACCGTCGCCGGCCGCCCTTCCTGCTGTTCTTCAGAGGCTGGCCTCGCGGCCCTGCAGAACAGCTTCCCGTGCGGCGAGACAGAACCTGCGCTGTCTTTATGGCAAAGAGGGACAGTGGGGTTCATTGTCTTTAAAAAAATATAAATGTAGTTAACAGATTTGATCTCAAAACTGCCTTTGGCCCTGGACCGTCGTATGAACTACACAAGTAAGTAAAATGAATTTAAAAGCCAGACAGCAGGGCTGCTGTTTCCTGAGCCATCTTCAGCCAAAAACCTCTGTCCCAGGGAAGCCAGGCTGGGGTGCCACACCGAGGACCCCGCCCTTGCCGCCGTCCTGGGTTGACCCACATGGTACGTGAATGGCACCCTTAGGTAGGGCTGAGCCATGCACGGCCAGCGTTGGGGGCATCGGACAAGGCTGGGCGGGCTGGCCTGGCGTCAGGAGCCAACGCTCCTCCGAGCAGGTGTGCGGCCCGACCCTGGGCACCAACCAGCACGGTCTGCACACTGCGTCTGTGGGTCTGGGGCAGAGGTGGTCTGAGTAGCCCAAGGAAGAGGCAGCTTGAAGCCAACCCGAGAGCCCCTCATGTCTCTTGTGGAGAGACGCAAACAGACCAAGACAGTACTCAACTGGAATTTTCTTAAAGGTTTCCTAAGCACAAGGAACACTCAGTGGTGTTTCCAATTGAACAGGAGCAGCTTGGGCTCCTGCCTTAAGTTGAACGTTTAAAAAAAGAGGTTATTTAACACTGTATGACAACTTATTTACAGTTTAAATAGAAATTTTCAATAATCAAAATACATCTTTAGCAAAAATTTAGAATGTAAAATTTTATAAAATACCCATAGAAAAGCAGAACATAGTATCAGTACCATTTCAGATTTAGCATAAGATGAAGGTCTTCCTTCAACACTGGGACCCTCCATGGATGAGCAGGGTTCCTACAGGTAAGAAGATTGCCTCCTTCTAACAAGCAATTTACCTTCCTGATTTGGACTGTTATAAAATGCTGACCCAAAAAGATTCCCCAAGATGGACACTAGGACAGTGACAGCAAAGCCTCAGGATGAAGTGGCCTGACCACTTGGCCCCTGGCTCACGGGCCACCGTGAAGCCAGGTCACTGCAGCTGAGGCTCATGCCTTGACGCCCTCTGCCAGCCCCTTGGATACCGATGCCGGCACCACCTGCCCCGGAGCAGATCACCGCGCCTCCCGGGCCCTTGGCGCCCGCCCTGAGGCCACCCAGACCCCGATGGGGTCGGCCTCGAGAACCTGGTCACTTTTTGGCCTTGTGACTGTGCCCATCTTGAGGAAAACTTTTATTCGTGTGGCTTGTTAAAAAGTAAGAAAGGAGTAGCGGTCAACTTTGGCCAAAACAAAAAGCTTTCGTGCGCGTGTCCAGCCCTGTCTGGCTCCCCTCGCAGGGCTGCTCCCAGCAGTGTCCCCCGTGGAGGTATCCACGTGTGCGTGCGGCCGTGCTGCCGTCTAGATCACGAACGAGGACTTGTGTCTGAAGTCGCCCTGCAAGGCCAACGCCGGGTTAGAGGGCAGCCCGCGGCCACGCAGGGCCCAGCGTGCGGTGGGAAGGGAGCCTGACACCGCTTCCCCACGGCGTGCTCTGAGGAGAGGCCGCGAGGCCTGTGGACTGAGTGCCCCGCGAGCGCACAGCCAGGGGAAGGGCTGAGGGCTCGCACTTGGGACGTGACTTAGAAATCTCTTCTACGGACGTGCTTGGTTCTCAGGGGAATGTCATCTTCCCTGCTCGGGACACTGCAGCCTCTAGGCTGCCTTACCTCCTCGTCCGTCCTGATGTAGTTAACTCCATCCGGCTTCCCTGGGTTCTTGTAGCTGAAACAGGGGGAGCCGAGTGACCACCGGTGGGCCACAGAAATGCCCACTGGAGCTTTGTGCATGTAGGACAGGCTCACCTTTCCCCGTTCTGCTTATTGTTGATGAAGCAGCCACGCCTGTAGGCACAGCAGATGCCCACGGTGATCAGGGCCAGTACCGTCAGGACGACCAGGACTCCCCCAACAATCCCGCCGATGTTGAGGTCATCTGGAGAAGAGAAGGGGTCAGAAGACGCGGCCTGCCGCCCCTGCCCCTGCCGGCCCGGAGCACCTCCGCCCACAGGCCATGACACCCACCCGCTGCGCCAAAGCCGCGTGGCATTGCCTGCGGGGCATAACAATCATCTGGGGACATTATTACTGGACGACATGGTTACACTACAAAGACAGCTAGGAGCCAGAGTCCTAAGGAAGAAAACAATTCCGAAATTTCTAGGGCTGCCCTTTGCTGCGGATTGTTTTTAAAGGGGCAGATACGAGGTGCAAACGTGGCCTCGCGGCCACGACCCTCAGTTGCATTCTCTCGTTTCAGTATGGGGCCCTAAAAATGCAACAGAAACTACACGGGGTGTAGCAACCAAAGCCATCTAACTTGGAAGCTGCTGAAATTCTCCCTCGTCTAGTACAGTGTTCTTGAATGTGAGTGCACTGTTATTTAAAAATAAGTCCATTTGAATCTTCCTCCTGCCGAGAGCAGCTTCCCAAATCTGACAGCAGCCAGAAGAGGACTCCACAGGTGAGGGTGGGCCCTGAAATCTAACCCCATCCTGCCCTCAACCCCCACTTAGAGCCAACACCCCCAGAGAAAGAAGCACCCAAACAGGGTAGAATTACCGGGGCTAAACCCTGGGTTTCAGCTTACTGCAAAACGGTTAAACTTGATACATTTCTGGAGAACCTTGTATCTCGATAATTCTATCAGTTACCAAAGAAGTGGAGTTCATGGAACGTCGTTAAGAGTTACATGATGAGGAGAGGACCTGCGTCAGTCCTTCAGCTGCTCCTTGGTGCGCCCTCGCCTCCTCCCACTGGACCCGGGGGGGGCCCGTGTGCCCGCGCAGGGCGGTCACAGCTGAGGGGCACCCGCCGGCCTGCAGGGCAAGGCTTGGCAGAGACACTCACACACTTCCATGTCCTGCTCCTCACAGCGGGCCGAGCCCGCATCATTGGACGCGATGCAGTAGTACTGGCCCGAGTCCTCCTTGTGGATGGCACTGAACACCTGTTTGGGGACTGGGAGTGAACGGGGACCCGACAACAGGGCTCGGTGCACAGTGAGCCCCCTCCGTGCCAGGGGCACCAGAGCCGGCGGCAGCCGGGCTTCACGTGCCCGTGACTCCAACCCGCTGCCTCCTCGCTCCCCACCACAGGGTCGTCCACGAACATGTGTGTGTCTCTAGAAGGACTTTTTAAAAGTCGTGCCCACGACACCACGACCGTGCTGAACGCAGCCAGCAGTTCCTCAACATCAGACGTGCAGCCAGGGAGCAAGTCCCAGCTGCCTCCCGACTCTGCCCCGAGGACAGCACCAGCCAGGCCACCTACGCCCTCCTCAGTCACTGTCCCCCTTTGGCTCTGCCCCCTTTCCTTGGTCCCCTCACAACTTTTCTGTCTATAAAGGGAGGTCAGGGTCCCCGACGTGCGGGGTTCAAAGCTGCTGTCTCGTAAAGTTTACTGTCTCTTAATAACCG